TTATGCTTTCAGGGGATAATTCCTAAACTGAAAAACTTACCCTTAGGGTTTGCTTGTCGAAAAAGTGATCTGTCCTCTTTTGCCTCGATGTAAGGATCCTTTAAGTTTCATGCCCAGTTGATATCACTTTTAATTCAGGTTTTATTAAGTTGATTTTCCCTTGTCAACCTGTCATCGGGCCATGCAACTGCCTCTAGAGCAATTTTTTATGTTTGACACCTTGTCAATTAAAAAAAAAGTTATTTTAATTCATCATAGATATTAACGAAGCATACGATATTACCTCTGGTCGAAGGCCGAAAACGGAATCACAAAAAAAGATTAAAAGGCACCTTTGTGAAAAATTCTTTAATGATCAGGGAATAACCAGAACCTTAACGAAAACGTTGGAGCGTAGTGGTTACGATAATTGACGCCCGCGAATTTAGTTAGCGGATTAGATGAAAAAAAATTTTTATCATTTTCACCTGCCAACAAGTAAAAATCTAATTTGGTTGTCTTTTTTGTTTGTTGTTCACTTAAAATTGTTATGTGCAAACGTACATCCAACCAGTAGTTACTTTTTAGTCATTTAATTCGAATCTTTTCATTTTCCGTGGAGGGAACCCCTATTAATGTAAAAGCTTTTTGGTGGCTTCTAAATAACTCCTTTCAATTAGCCAAGGAGAAAAGAAAGGATAACTTGCTTCGTTGATTTCTTTCTGTAATGAGACTTAAATCGAGTCAATATACCCCAAAGAAATTGAAGCTTTGACCAAACGAGGTATTATCTGTGGATTTAGGCTGATTGAAAGACTTCCCAAGAGCTTCTTTCAAACCGTTTCTCTTTGGTGATAATGATTTCAATCCTTGAGCGAAATGTGGACCCGAATAATTCAAACGTAGAAACGAAAATGAACTTTCAAAAAATGACACAAAAAACTTACCCTTTTCTTTATCTTAATCACTCTACATCGTTACTTCGCGATGAGTACTAGTCAGGCGAAAAGGCGATCTCAAGAATCTAGACAAAATTTTTAATTGTCATTCCCTGACCATGAGGACTTTTCGTTTTAGTAAAGTGTGAAAATTTACATAGCAAAACTTCATCTAAAGATCATAACAGGTCGAATCACAATTCTAAAATACCCGGCGCGTTCTGGCTGATTAATTTCTTGCAGTCTCAAAAGCACGACTCAACGATGCCAGATCTCAGTTCAAAGGTGATCAGAAAACCCCTTCTTTTTTCGCAAGATGTCCATCA